TATCAATTATTTCTATTGGATAATTTCAGATTGATGTTGTTATTTTTCCAGATTTTGTTACAGCTGTTTCCATTAATGGAAACATCATTTTAGTTTTCATGCAGAATTGGTTTCTATAATTTTCCATAGACCAAAAATGACATGCTGTCCATTTTTTCTATATATTGAACATTTTCCTATTGAATTTTTATATTGTTTATACGTGTTTAGAAAATTAACATTATTCTTATTGTGAATTTGAATTATAAACTCCAGTCAAAACGACAATTGTTATGTTGGATGAAATCATGTCGTTAATCGTTGTGGAACTACGAATAATGTTATTTGATGTCATAGCATGGCTATGAGTATCTGGTAAATGTTGTTTGCTGAAAGATTATAAATATGGGTTCTATCCTTATGATAGTTCATTATAGATGTGTTTAGTAAAAAAGGAGTTGTTTAGTCTAGTTAACTGTGTTTAAGTTGTTTTGTTAAGAGATTTGTTATCGTTATTTTTATTGCTTCTGAATCAAATTACATTTTCATTATTGGATTATTGTTATTCCATTTATTATTATGAGCCAGAGTTAAGAAAGTCCACAAAGTGTTGGTGCTCTAAGGCAAATCAATCATATCATTTTTAAGACAAAAAGAAGTCTACAACTAAATCAATCAAATCAAGTATTATGAAATGTTTTGAAGCTGTTATTATTATTATTATTGAATCAAAGTTTAAACAAATATCTCGTTGTCATATCAAATCAATCAAATATTAAATAGAAAAGAAATATTGAATTATTAAATTGAAAAGTGAGCATTATAATTAGAAATTGAATCTATTATTATTATCATTATTGAAAATGTTATGAGCATACAGGTTTTGTGCTATTGAGTTAGTTACTGGTTACTTGTTTATATAAAAACTGAAATATCATTATTAGTTGAATTATACTGAGAGATCCATATGTTTTGTTGAACTGTCATTAGACATTATTTGAAATTATTATTATTATCCACAGAATGCTGAAGAGGTTATTTGTTAAATCTACTGTGAGATGAATTAAATTTGTTGAACTTATATTGTTCATTGTTGAATTAATCTTACCTTATTATAGGAAGATGTTACTTTAAAAGAATCAAATCTATTGAACTTATATTGTTCATTGTTGAATTAATCTTACCTTATTATAGGAAGATATTATTTTATTGGAATTTTGTTGAACGTTATTACTGAATTATTATTGTTTTGGAAAGTTATTATTATGTTGATGTTTTTCATATACCATTATGGCTCAGGTTAGGATTATTAAGTCACTGAAAGCTACATTATTATCACAATTACATTATTATTATTGGTATTACATCATGACCAAGCTAAGATTATTAGATCTCTTGAATGTCAATCAATTATTACTATATTTTGTTATCATATCCATTCAATTAGTTCATCAAATTTTATTATATTCCATTTATTTTTGAAAATTTGACCATGTTATAAGATTATTATATCATTGAAGGTCGTTATATTTTGGTACAGCTTTGTTTATTATCTTTATCATATTCAATATGTTATTTTAATGTTGGTTACTTTATCTATTTTTGGTATTTGGTTCTATTTTATTATATTTGGCACAAGTTGGTTCTTATTTCAAGTCAATACTACTATTACAATACATTATTATTGCTAAGAAGGTCTTCATATATACTACTCAATCAATTTAAAGCAAAAAGGAACCTGCCAAGGTCAGCAAATCAACCATAATTTGTTATTATTTAGCCCCTGAAAAGGCTTGCCAAGGTCACAAACCCAAAACAGTTTGATATTATTTGAGCCCCAGCAAAAGGCTTTGATCATGAAACGGCATTTTATTATTACCGGAAACCCAGCCTAAGTCCTAACAAGAAAAGGTTCGCAGTAAATGAGTTATCCAAGGTCAGTCTAAACCTGTCAAATTGAATTATTGACAAAGAAAAAGGTTTAATTATTATTATGAGAGTATAAATCACTATGATTATTTGTTTACCTTACCTTATTATTATCCATATCATTGAACTGAAGCAAGTTCTACTCGTTGACATTATTTGAAATTACCATACTGTTGTTGTCCATTGTTATTGCTATTGTCATTAGCTGTTATTATTAGCCCAGAGGAAGGAATTTTTTATCACCAAACCATTTGAATTATTATTCTTCATACCAACAAGAAAGGAAATTATTACTGATTGATTATTTTGATGTTAGCTTTTAAGCTGCTATTGTTACATCATTGTTGAATGCCACATTTGTTACTGCTGTTTACCACATTTTGAAATTTTATTATTCATTGAGTTGAATTTTTTTTTGCTGAACAAGATTATTATACCTATTTCCAACCCCAGAGTTATTGAACTTATTCAAGTTATATTATTATTTCCAGAAGAAGGGATTATTATTGATTATTTTGAGAAATTATTTGTTTTCATCAAAGTGTTCCAGGTGTAACACAATTTTAAACAAAGGGGAAATACATGGGACTCATGAAAAGTCATGTTTTGAAAAATTGAATCTGTTTGGAAAAGATTAATTGAATCATTTATGTTTGTCTGTTAATTGTTCGTTAGAACACTTGTTCATTTTTTGTCAATTCAATTATTCAAATTATTCAAATTAC